AAAAATGTAAAGAAAGCTAAAATCCTACAATTCCCGTGTAAAAAGTAAAGTAATAATGTATTGCGCTAATGAATGTCCAAAAACCGTTATTGAATGTGTGGTTTTGTCTATTGATTGCACAAAGGCGCTAATGAAACTTTGAAAACGCTAATGAACCTGCACAGACATATTCATGATTGTCCAATGTTATGCTAAATTCCTTAATGAAAGTTCCATCGCGCTCTTGAAACTCCGTTCGCGTTATTGTGTGCCTCTTCGCGCTAATGATAATGCTTTTTCGCTTGAATGAATATTCCTTTGCGGTTAATGAACAGCAAAAGGTGTAATAACAATCTAGAAATATTCAATCTTAAGCACGCTTCATTGATGCATGGCCAAGTTCAAGGTTATGTCAAGGTTCATTGCTCAAATCCCATGTATTATACAAGTGCTCACTCCCTCTCTATCTTTTCTTATTTTGTTATAATTATTAGCTATCGTAAAATAAAACTATTTCAAAAGTTATCCCAATTTTTTGTAGACGTTCTCAAACTTTTTGACACGTATTGTGACCTATTTGCTCATTCTATCTTTCTTTTTCTCTCCCTCCCTATCTCTTTCTTTCTCTACCTTCCTTTCTAGTTACTTTGTTACTAAAAAATGTTTTATGCTTTCACTTTTTGACACCAGTATACTGGCGTAACGTAGTCAACAGAGCTSAACTCATTTCCATCTTTGCCAAAATACTTTTTCATTAGCTCCACAAAGAAATTTTCAAAGCCCACTTTCTCTTGTGTGCTTGCAGTCTTAAAGACACTGAACGACGATATTAAATGAAAGAAGCTGTTGGAAGTGTAATCCAAAGAACTCTTGAAAGAATCACTTTGAAGTTTACCAAACTTCCCAGACAATGGTATCACTTTGAGGATTTCTTCTTGATGTAGAGGAGGTATCCCAAAAACGCACTGTTTTAGGTAAGATTCGTCAAAGTATTGGTAGATGTCGTGCATCCATGGCTGGGATTGGCAATCTGGATAAGTCCAAATCAAGCCGAGCATGCCTCTGGGTGCCAACACTTGGCTTATTTTTATTAAACTTTCTTTCTTGTCAGCATACCAATGAAAAGCGTTCGCAGATAGCACTACATCCATGCTTTCATCTTTGAGGTCTGTGGAAGCAATAGAACAGTAACTTGTGGGAATAACTATAGAATACCCCGCCAAATGAAAGCCAATTCTAAGGAATGTGCGTGGCCTACTTGGTGATTAATTCTTCATATGAATTCTCAGTGTATTTTTCATCGCGTCTCTCTGTCTACGCAGCCTACTCAGCCTACGCGCCTACTCAGCCTTTGTTTATTCCTACAAAGCCTTCCCAAATTCTAACCCTAAACATAACCCCAAGATACCTGATTGTTTATACCTACAACGAATGCGTAGGCGCGTAGGCAGCCTACTATAATACTCCTTTTCCTTGCGGGGTATTCTATAGTTGTACCCAGAAGCCCTTCCTGGGAGAGCTTACCTATATTTTCAGCTGAAAATTGTTTGATCTCAATATCAGGTAAAACTTCTTTAAACTGGTCACGCATGTTTTTCACCGGATCACTAGCGATTATGCGAACCTTCGCGTCTTTGAGGACGTCTACCATTACACGCGTAAATTTGCCAGTTCCTGCTCCAAGTTCAAGAATATTGAACGTTTTATCTGGATATGCTTCGCCATTTTCTTTCAGAACGCCTAACTGTGTCATAAGGGATTTGACTGCTTCTTTTGGATACACAGGTCGTACTTTTTCGTACATTTTTGAGTCGAGAAATCCCTGTATTCCTAAACGTTCCGACGCCATGTTTTTTTCTGGATCACAAGAGACTTATTTATGGGTTGCCTGTGTTTTGAGGTTAACAAAAGTGGGCATCCTGTGGTCTTTCCGTGATTTATTAGTTTATTTACATGTATTATTTTATAAATGCAGCCTAAAATATTCACTTTTGAATGAATACTTAAATGATACAAAATTGAATAGTTTTAGATTTTATGCACAAGAAATAAATGTAGATTTATGAATTGGGCTTCCTGTGGCTTTTTTAGAAATATTAATAAATATACTATTTTACCCGGCACATAACATTTAAATTGTTTAAAATCCCTGTTGGAAAGTTAAAAAAGAAAATTCTCGTTTTAATATTTATTTTTGAATAAATGTATGGTTTTAATATAATATTATATCAGTGTGAAGAGCTGGACTCGTGTTTTGAGCTATTAATTTATTTTCATCGATAAATAAGTAATTTGTACATATACTTGTTATTTTATATTCATGATTTTTTTTTTATTGTTTTATTATTATTATTATTGTTATTTGAAAGTATTTTTGAATCAAAATGTTATTTATGTATTGAGCCAGCGATGAGGGTATGTCAGCAACAGACATGAAGTCGAGGACGAGCCGCAATATTTGCCACGTTGCTTGAAACTGTTTTCAGACGATCCAAAAATCCACGTCTAAAAATCCAACATAACACCAAAACTACAACAGAAAACCAAGCCTACTGGCTCTGAACTGCGAGTTTGATTGCAATACCACATCAAGGAAACCTTGATTTGCTCAAAAATCCCGTAAGATTTTTTCAAGGTAAGTCGGGAGGAGTCGCCGGTAAAAAGATGGTAGAGTTACCGTTGTACAGTAAACCTTTGTCTCGTAGCATCAAAACAATCAGCTTCTTGTTCTGATGTGCAGTGAAATTACAGGTCTAAAGCAATAGTTGATCTTCCTAACGTTTCCAGTGAATGCTAGCTTTGAGATCGAGCTCCAATATTGCGATAAAATGTCTAGTAAATAATTTTTGGTTCGTAAATTTTCACATTTTATAGGCAGTGATCATGAATTCAGAATCCTATGCATATATTTTATAGAAAAAAATTAAAACGCGGAAGATTCTGTATTTCATTGACTTATTTTCTTTATTTGCTTATAAAATATTAAGTTTTATTATTTATTATTATTAGAGGAATGCCACAAATCAAATGAATATTTCAAAATTGAGGGTCTAAGAAATGCGATTTCCATTGCTGTAGTTTTGAGGGCAATCATATTCATTGTCAAAGCTTCATAGATAAGTCATATCAGATTACCATTTTTGGTTAAAAGCAGGCATCTCAATCCCCAATGGTCTTCCACACACTTCTCACTTCTCTCTATGAAGCATGTTGTTCAGAGAATCTTCCTGAATATAAATACGATCATTATCTTCACCATTAATGCTGTCATCTTCATTATTGTCATGATGATCATCATTAAATATAAATAGTCCAATTGTGTCTGTCTTCCAGATACACCATGAAAGTCAAGGAAATTAAAAGAACTGCAAATATAGCATGGAGTCCTTCGGCACAGTATCCAGTGTACCTAGCAACAGGCACTGCTGCCCAGCAGCTTGATGCTACCTTCAGCACAAGTGCAGCACTGGAGATCTTTGCTTTGGATCTGACCAGTAATGACTTGGAGATGCCACGACGTGGTACATTGGAATCAGAGCATAGGTAGGTATAAAGATATAAAAAAATCTAGTTAACTATTTATAATGATAATAATAATATAATAGCAATTTATATAGTGCTTATCCATGTCAGCTCTAAGTGCTTAAAGTCTTATTTCAAAGTGAAGGCTAATTTAAATAGATAAGTTTTGAGTTGAGATTTAAAAGTGGAGAGACTGGATATAGATCGCAGTGATGATGGAAGTGAATTCCAAAGTTCAGGTGCAGCGACAGTAAACGAGTGATAAGGCCCTGTGCACGGTGTTGGTGTACAAAAATTTGGCCATTTTTCTAACGCTAGGTTTTGTTGATTTTCTCAATGAGTATAAAAAAGCTATTAATAAAATTTCACACAAAGAAAATATAGTTCATGTGCACCTCAGAAATGAAATTTTAGCTCATAAAACCTGAAGTGAAAGAATTTAGAGAAGTAAATAAATTATGTGTCGAATAATTGTCGAAAATTGCCGCAAATTACCAAAGATCAAAAATGCTTTTTTTAAAGAAAAAAATTTTGATTTCCAATTTACTTWAAAATTTCAATATTTTCCAGGTGCACATAAAATTCGCTACAATTTTTGAGTTTTTCAGTCATCTGAGATTTGTAGTTCCTAAGAAAAGTTAAAAAGACAAGCGTTAGAATTGGTTAAAAAATAGCGAGAAAAATCTTACGGCGCTAAAACGCGTCTTTCACGCCCAAACGTCGTGCCTATGTGTGGTTCATATCGTGCCTATCACGCCTCATTTTCTGTTTCATGTTGCACGATATAGTGCTAATCGTGCCTTACCATCGCGCTCATCGTGCCTGAATCGCGCTCATCGTGCCTGAATCGCGCTCATCGTGCCTGAATCGCGCTCATCGTGCCTGAATCGAGCTCATTGTGCCTGAATCACGCCTCTGATCTTCTCTTCAAAATAGATAAATATTGTACAAGTTTATTCAACATCTTGCAATATTTTCCCCAAAACGTGAGAAAGCGTGTATCTTTACTTTGAAGYGAGCCGATCGTCTGATCCTAAAATTATCGAGTATATATTTTAGGCAATTCAAAATCATAATTTCACGAGTGTGAAAACGAAAAAAACTCTTGTTTTGTTATCTATATCGGCCACTGTGTTCCTATATTCCGATCCTTGGGACATGATTATCCACTTTATTTATGTTTTACTCATGATCGATGGATAAATAAAAGAAAAAAAGGAGATYGTCTTCTCGATAAAAAGCTTCCAAACTCAAGTACCACTGCAATTTTACGCTCTATCATTTCTCGCTTTGTGATTGGTCGACCGTAATGTAAACAAATGCTAATCACAGAGATTTGATTGTATTGTATTAAACCTGGAAGCAAACCATCTAATAATCTCTTGGCTGTTGCAATTGTTTTTATTTTAGGAGCTCAGATAGATAGATAGTTGTGGTACAGCGTAGAAGACAACTTTTTCAAATAATAGGCCCTTTGCAGCTCGTCGGAATGCAGCTCATTTTGCTTGCCCTCCAAAATGAGCTGCATTCCGAYGAGCTGCAAAGGGCCTGTAATCTTTGTAAATATATTGATTCGGGCATATAGTTGTATTATAATATTAAATACGAGAAGCCATTTTCTGTGCATAATTTATTTGTTTGATATTTCGATCACTCTCCAGTGATCATCATCAGACTGRATTATAATTCAAAGTTCAGAGTCTTCTACTGTAATATAATGACTTGAACTTTGAATTATAATTCAGTCTGATGATGATCACTGGAGAGTGATCGAAATATCAAACAAATAAATTATGCACAGAAAATGGCTTCTCGTATTTAATATCATAATACTGTAATCTTCCCTTGAACAGGAAAACAAATAAATTGTATGTTATATCATCGATTTTTTCGATTGTTGCCACGTGAAGCTTATACACGAACAACAAATCACGCCTGTTGTCTGCATCGCGATCGTGTTCACCGGCTTCTCAAACGTTATCAATACAAAGTTAATGTCTTGTAACTATAATAAACATATATTTTCAAAATAAATTGTGTAAAAATTTTGTTTGGAGGAAGTTAGTTTCTTTTGTACTAAAAAAATTCGTTCAATCACGGGCGCTCAAAACAATAGACAAGAAACACTTTCAATTTGCCTTGTTAACCACATAGAACTTAGGAAGGCTTTCATGTTAAGAAAATCAGACATTGAATAAAATAAAAACAAAAAACATGTGCTAACTTTGAAAGTTATGGCTTAACCAATGAGCTAGGTGGATAGTTTAAACAATATCACAATAAACACATTTCTTTATTCCTTGCCGAAAGCTAGCTACAATTGTAGCGTAGTTCGTATTAGATTGGCGGACCCTTACATAAAAGTAAAATCGGCTTAATTTTTTTGCAATGAATAGAAATTACAGAATTTTATACAACAGGCTCCAAAGAAAGATAACTATTATATTTCCAGACACTAAGAGCGTGGATTTGAGGCGCGATATCAAGGCACGAAAGGCACGATTTGAGGCGCGATATCAAGGCACGAAAGGCGCGATTTCAGGCACGATACCAAGGCACGAAAGGCGCGATTTCAGGCACGATACCAAGGCACGAAAGGCGCGATTTCAGGCACCAAGGGCACGATTTGCCGTACGTGATGATCACAAAAATTTCGAGTGTCCAATTGAACACCCCGATTTTTCGTGGAGGCAGTCGAGGTTTTTCCTTCTTATCTTTTGGTTTAACTTATTTGTGTTAAAATACACCGCAGCAGTCGAAACCTTGATAATGTAGCTTCTCTTTTTTGTAAAATATAAGTTGTTCGGGGATAAAATGAGTGAGATACGGCAAAAACCAAACTCTGTTGTGACTAAAAAATTTGCGAGCATCGTCTGTACGCCAACACCGTGCACAGGGCCATAACCATAAGATTTAAGGCGGTATGGAGTTGAAGTAAGTAGCAATAAAGCATTTATAGACTTCCTTGGCTCAGGCGCAATGTTTTCCCATTTCAGACCATGTGTCATTCCCTTGAGAATAATATTCTTTGTTTGAGTTGTATCCATGTTCATGTGTCTTCTTATGTGCAATCATGTACAACCATTAAACAAAGAAATGATATTTTAGGGAATGACACATGGTCTGAAATGAATGGGAAAACATTACTCCTGAGCTGGGGAGGTCTATAAATGGATATAATATAAGTTGTTGACCACAGCATAAACTAGGTATACTTAGCTTGTTGGCAAATGGGTGTCAGTGCCTGATGTGCAATCCTGGCACAAAGTAGATAGTAAACTGTGAACAGCCCCTGTATTTCCCTTTGGTCCCTTACTCTCCACACCCCTCCCCTGGGGATATTAGACTAGCTACTAATCCTTGCTTGGCACAAGTAATCAAAGTAAATGGGCCAAACAGTGATCAAGGGAAATATAGGGACTGCTCACAGTCTAAAAAGACAGCTGAAAGTGATTCTTATCTGAAGTTTTGGAACAGTAATGATAAAAGGGTAAATTTAACAACGTGAAAAGATGAAAAAACTTACTGACGTTTTGGACGCTAGTCCTTCATCGGAGTAAAAGAGAAAGAGGTGGTAGAAATGAGTGTTTATATACTAAGAACAAGACAAAAGGAACCAATGAGAACAAGATGGGCAAGGAAACGAAAGAAACAATCAAAAGACAAAAGAGTGGGTTAGTTAAATTAAGCAAAGCGTTCATTAATCCCGCTGGGACTAAGTGTGCCCAATAGGTGAAGTTTTGCACGTTAGTCTTTCAACAACGAAAAACCATTTTTATTTTTCTCCCAGATTTCATAAACTTGTTTGGAGTCCATTCGGTATTGGTTCCACAGAAACGAAATCTGGTCTTCTGGTCGGAGGAACAGACAAGGGAAGTGTCGTCATCTATAATGCTGATAAAATACTGAAGAAAGATAAGGGAGGATGCATATTTTCTGAGAATGAAAAACACACAGGTAATGATAACTGGTAAACCATTATACTTATACTAGATTATACTAGAAGTAGTGCAGAAATAAATAATAAACCTTCAAATGTTATGATCTGTGAGTTAGCCATGCCCTGACTTAGGTCAGCCCAGAGGTTGTTCCAGGATTTGATCTGTGAGTTAGCCGTGCCCTGACTTAGATCAGCCCAGAGGTTGTTTCAGGGTTTGATCTGTGAGTTAGCTGTGTTCTGACTTTGGTCAGCCCAGAGGTTGTTTCAGGGTTTGATCTGTGAGTTAGCTAATCAATCAGTCCAGTGTTTTCCAAGGTTTGATAGAATTGGTGTTTGTTTTAGGCGCAGTACAAGCCTTAGATTTCAACCCTTTCCAGCCCAACCTCTTGGCATCTGGTGCCAGTGATTCAGAGATCTTCATCTGGGACATGAACAACCCAGGTGAATACTTTACTCCTGGAGCCAAGTCATTACCACCTGACAATATCAGCTGCCTAGCATGGAATAGACAAGTACAGCATATCCTTGCGTCATCATCCCCCTGTGGACGCTGTGTGGTCTGGGATCTGAGAAAGAATGAGCCTATCATCAAAGTTGGTGACCAGAGTGCCATGGTAAGATTAGAGTACATTTTGGCTCTGAAAAACTTGCAGTATAAGAGTGATTTGTTGTGATCATTTTAGTATCATATCCATGTATGTATTCTCGTTACATGTGCAGCTGTATCTCATGGTATGGAAGTGCAATACCGCTACCGCAATACCATCCATGATCATGATTGTCTCATCATATTTAAGCATTCTCATTGCACTAGTAGTAACTTGTGTATGGCAAGGCTTAAAATAACGGCTGGCAATATTAATATCATATCTTTGTTTATTTCAAGATTCGATGCAAGGCTGTCGAGTGGCACCCTGATACAGCAACCCAAATGGTGCTAGCATCAGAAGATGACCGCTACCCAGTGATACAGGTAAACCATCTTACGAAAAAATAGTAGACCTTTAGAACACTGGAGTGACAGTTTTTGGAAAATTGGTGTTACTAGAAAATGGTGTTTACATTCAAATTTTTCAAGTCAATAATAAAGAAAATTGCAATGCTTCATGGTGACTGCATTTAAACTAGCAAATATTTAAATAATCAATCCTGAATCTTACAAAGAAATTTTTTGTCAACTAATATCATTTTTAATATAAATTTAATTATGAACCCTTTACTCTGAATACAAATATTTCAAAAAGGCATGCTAATGTGTTTACTGTCTATACGTGATATAGACGCGCTCTTTTACATATGCAGAGCACATCCTTGGGTGTTTTGTATAACTGGTCTGGTTAATATTGCTTTTTCTAGATGTGGGATCTACGGTTTGCTACATCACCCATGAAGGTCCTTGAGGGACATCAACGGTGAGTATTGAAAACAAGTTACCAACACTTTACTGGAAGCACAGGTAGCTTAGCAGTGCGAATGCTTGCCTGGACTCAGTATTGTATGAGAGTAGAGGTGCTCATTGGTTCTCTCCTGTGCTTCAAGGGTTTTACTCTTGATTCTTCGGTTTCCTTCCTCTGTAAAAATTAACTTTTAAATTTCAATTCCAACATAAATAAAGGCCACCCATTTGTTAGCTGCTGGCTATTAAGTGTTACTGTTGTAAAACAAAAATGACTTTTCTTGATGCTTGTCTATGTTAAGGTCCCTTGTTTCAATAGGCTACATCAGTGTGACTATATTAGTTCTTATACAAGATGTGTTTATATTTTTTTCAGGGGTATTCTATCTATTGCTTGGTGTCCTCAAGATCCTGATTTACTCATGAGCTGTGCAAAAGTAAGAACAATTCTTGATGAAAGTTTGCATGCAAAAATTATAATTATTGGGATCCCTGTGGAAGACCACAGGGAACCCATTGGTCAGTCTCAGACTAAGTAAATCTATATGCTGTTATTTTTGTTATAACAACCTGGAATCCTAGATACTAACACACTCCATATCTAGTCACAGACTAAATCAACTATTGAGTTTATTGGGATTCCTGTGGAAGGCCACAGGGAGCTCATCAGGCAATTTTCTTATCTATAATACTGTATATGTTTGTTTTTTTTTAGGATAATCGCATCTTGTGCTGGAATCCCAATGAACAGACACCTGGAAATGAAATAGTTTACGAACTCCCCACAACATCACAGTGGAGTTTCGACGTGAGGTGGTGCCCCAGAAATCCAGCGATGATTTGTACCTCTTCATTTGACGGCAATGTGAGCCTGTTTTCATTGATGGGGGGAGGAACGACTGAACAAATGGTAGAGCAACAAAAGGTGAATGATGCGTTTGATGCCGATGACCCATTTGGATCGCAGCTTCAACAACAGCAACAGCAACAACAAAAAGTCACTACTGCTGCTCCACTCAAGAAACCACCAAAGTGGCTAAGAAGGCCTTGTGGAGCTAAATTTGCTGTAAGTTCTTTTGAATAAATTTTCTGTACTCTATGTTGGTGTTTTTAAAAATTTTATCTATTATGTTTGTAGTTTGGTGGAAAGCTTATTACATTTGGTCAACATAAGGATACTACACCTAACCAGGTATTTTTTCTCCAGAAAATATTCCTATTTTATTTAAGATGCAGCAATACAGGCAACTAAGCCACATTGTTACAACATTGTTGTATTGCAAGTTGCAGAGCATTGTTCGTATTATTATTCTGAGTGCAATAAATTTTCCTTGTTGCAAAGAATGTGTAACTCCAGAAATTATCCATACCCACCCCAAGGGAAGAAGGGGGGGGGGTCAGAGAAAGTACAAAAATTACAGAGTTTGTATGGAAGAAAATTGGAATTTCCAGGAGTAGGGGGGTGAGGGGGTTATGGATAATTTTTGAACTACACAATAGAGAGAGTTTCTAATTTGCACAACAAGGAGAATTTGTCACATGCTGATAAGACGATCTTGCTCAACAAGTTATGCATTTTTTTGCCCATATTATCAAACCTTTACTGATAAATGAAAATGTATTTCCTACTATATCTATAGTATATATTTATCTATACTATAGCTGTCGACTTATTAGTATTTGTTCTTTTTTTAGGTTCATATAAGTCAAGTCGTAACAGAGGGTGAACTGGTCCGGCGATCAGTTGAACTAGAGGGTGCGCTTGTATCGGCAAATTTCATTGACTATTGTAATGATAAAATACAAAACAGTACACATGAATTGGAAAGGACTTTATGGAGTTTTCTCAAGGTAGGAATAAGGTTAGGTTTTTTTTATAAT